GGACGGGTCATCAAAGGGTGACCCAGCCACCTGGTTCCTAAGAGTACACATAACCCAGGGGTACTCTGAAGTCCTTTTGGCCACTTTGATTCTACACAGGAGCTGTTCTACTTCCAGATACAGGGGTAAAAATTACTTAAGGCTTAAAACGCCTTAAAAAAAAAAAAAAAATCAACCAAGCCAAATCTTATTTTATAACCTGATGAGACTGGGGTCTGCTTGAACGTGCACGTCTTTACGTTACACGCTGTCCTACGTACGCGTGGCCTCCTCAGGAGCCGCGGCCTCCTGACATTCCTCAGGACCAAAGCGGGAGCGGGCAGCAGCCAACGCCCGGCTGGGAACAGCGAAAGTCTTGCCGCAACACCTCTGGGAGGGTCCCTGCCATGCCCTCGGACAACGTACCTTCCCAGCGGCTCCAAAGCTGCCAGCCGCTAAGCCTGATTTTCTCCCAGGGTGTTTCAAGGCGAGGGGAAGGAAACCCAACCCACGCCAACGAGGAGAGGAGGCTGGCAGCGGCACAGGCGGGGGGAAGCAGCCGAGGGCTCTGTCTGCGACCGCGGTCACATCCTGCTCTGCGGGACGTGGGACAGAGCCCCGGCCTGCTGAGCAGCACAGCCAGAGCCGGGCAGCCTGCGGCAGTCACGCCCCGGGAGTTGCTGCTGCACCTTTTCCGAGGGTGGAAAAAGCAGCTGCAGGCCGCATTTCCCACGACAGCCCCGCTGCAGTCAGTGTGACTCCACTCGTGGGGAAGAGCTTTGGAAAAACAAATGAGCATCAGCCTCCTAAGGAGCTTTTCCCATCCAGGAACTCTGTGAAAGCGTGAAATCTGGAAAGTCAAAGGCTGGGAAATGCCTGTGTGGCTTTGCCTCGCTTCCTGCAGCTAAGGAAAAGCTCATAACCTAAATATGGGACATTTCCACTCAATTTCTCAGGGCTTGAATTTACAACCTGAAGCGCCCCCATGGAACAGCAGCTGCTGCCCTGGAAGCTCCGCTTCCCATCGCATCAGGCCCCTGCCCGTGGCCGCCGTGCTCCTCCAAGACACTGGTTTTACAACCAAAAAGATCATCTCACGCTCGAAAAGAAAGTATTTAGATGTCTAAGAAAACCCTGAAATCCCCAGGGCTGACCCTTTTCCGGGAGAGCCACGCACCGATTCCCACCAGAGCTCAAGGTGACCGAGGCTGGTTCCCTTGCGCAACTGAGCCTCCACCCCTGCCGCACCAGGGCTTACGCTGCCGCGGCCTGGCACTTGGGAGATCATTTCCAGGACTGTTATTCGGTTGTGTTTGCTCCTCAGAGGTTTTCAGCAGCTCTCCAAAATACTCCTCTCGCATGGCATCTCTTTTTTTTTTTTCCCAGGTCCTTTGCGGCACTGCTTGGTGCAATGCCACCGCAAAGCCGAGTGACCAAACGGACACCTGCCAAGGAGGTCCTCCTAACAAGCCCACAGGAGAAAGCTTTGCCCGGAAGCAAACAGGAAAAGAGAATAATTTGGCTGTGGATATTGAAAAAGCCTTCGCTGCGGGGAAGGAGAGGTCAAACAGCAGATGTGTCGCCCTCAGCCTTAATTCCAATTAATTCCTTTAGCAGTTCCAGCAGGTGCCCTGCCAGGAGCCACCTCTCAGAGGCTGCCGGGAGAGAACCTGGGGTCCCCTGCAGAAGCCACCGCAGGGACCACGGGCTGCACGCGATCTGTCACCACGTCCCCCGGCCAGGGGAGGCCCGGGGCTGGCACAAGTCAGGAGCAGACGAGAGGCAGCGCTGAGGCGTGAGCAAGCGGCCAGGCTCCACGCGCGGCGGGCAGGGAACTGCCCCCCCCCCCCCCCCGCGGGCCCCTTGGCTGCGCACAGGCGAGCCAAGCGGCCTTTCAGAAGGGACTATGTGTAAGGTAAAATAAACCTGGGCCAAATCGGTCTGTAGACACTGGTGACGTTACTCATGAGGCAGGATGCAGCTTCGCAAAATCTGGGTTCCCACAGGGAACCCCAAAAGTGTAGAGCCTGCATCAGGCCTTTTGCAAGAGAGGCTCACTCTTCCTGCGCTGCCTCCCTGGGTGCTGCCAGGGCAATACCGCTGCAGCCTTGCTTCTGCCATAAGCTTCTTGAAATAAAATTGCTATTCAGGTTCACTCCTACAGTTGCAGGAGGAAGCCGGACACCACTTCGACTTCTAAACCACCATAACATGACAGAGGCACTCAGGAACTCCAAAATCTATCGAGCTCACAGCCACCTCATCATCCTCCCAGGATGTCACACACAAAAGGCAAAGCAAGCTTTTTAAAACCAGTGAAACCATCAAGAAGGTCCAGACACTGCTGATTCCCAACGCGATGTAACCGGGCACATACCTCGTACTGATGCTCCATGCCAGGCAGAGCCCTACCCGTGGGTACCAAGCTCCTCTGCCCCCGTAGGGCCCGTCTTACTCCAAGGTGTCTTTCTACTCGCCAAAGTCATGCCTCTTCCCAGCTCCCCAGCTCCCCACCTCCTCCCAGCAGGCTGGGCTGAGCAACCCCCAGGCTACTGAGCAGCCTCATTAACCTTCCCTATAGCTCACACATGGGCTACAAGGGTGGCTCAGCTCCTTTCCCTGACCCCAGCCCGTGCTTATCAGCAACTCCTCGGCCAAAGCAGTTGGGCTTTGGCTCCTCCTGTGACTGCGAGCGCCGTTGCTTGCAGACCACCACTCGCACACGAGACTGCCGGCGCTTCTTTAGGCTTTGAGCGCCTCCGTGTTCATCTGTAATAAGTTCATCAACATCCACAGCGGGGTAAATGGGGTCTGGCCTTCTCAATTTTTATTTCTAGAGATGTGAAGTCATCTCGGCTTCCCAACATGTCTGTAGTGGGGAAACACTGGTAAAGGCTACTCGGTACCAGAGAGCGTGCGTGTTCTTGGGGATTTTACTGCCGCTCACCGTACCTGACAGTCATCTGACTAAGGCGACACTCTTCCACCTTCACCTAGAGTCTGCGGTGGTCCAGTGAGAGTTGTCGGGGGGATTTGGTGCTGCACACATTAAGGGGGAATAGCAAAATTGTGCCTATTGGGAAAGGGCAAAGCAGCAGCAAGGATCCAGAAAAAAAGCTGGAGCTGAGCTCTCCTGCTGGCTTCTTGGATGACCTGGGACAAACGCCTGCACCTCCCATTTTCAAAGGGGAATGCTGAGCAAGTAAAGATGCGTTTTTGGTCTGATGTTCTTGAACTCTCAATTATTCGCTTAACCACCTGAAACATCTGGAATGAAACCCCCTTCAGTCTGAGAGGAGAGTCTCACCCAGGGTATTCCACCTTTTCCAGGTTTAGTTTTGCACATGGTCAGAAAAAGTGTTTCAACTATTCAACCACGTGTGTTTGCCAGTGAATTTATTCAGTTGTTGCTACCTGCAGTGAGACAATACTTCAGAAAGTTAAACTCAGGAAAATGCTACGAGAAGATGACACTGTTTTGCTGTAAACCCCTCGGAACATCTCCTTCCGTGTGGCACTGCTGTCAGGAGTAGTTTTCCCTCTACTAACCCAATGAGTCATGCTAGAGAGCTTGCCTTTCCACTCAGCAGAAAAACATGCTGCATGGTCACCTGGAGCTGGAGCAAAAGGCCCTGGGCTAGTGGGCAGCTCAGCACCTTTCACACTCTTCCTATTTCATTTGCAGATGCTGAATCGCTTTTTTCCAGCCCTTTGATGTTTCCCTTTTAGGTCACTGCTTGTTAATTGCTGCCTGAAAAATTTCACGTAGGTGGCCGATTTAATGCTCTGTGCTGCCCTGACAGCTTGCTGACTGAAGTCCTCCCCACCCAGGATGCCCAGGGAAACACACCTCGTCAGGAGAACCCCGTGTCAGAAGCAGACCCCATCCCTGCCGCGTGCCTGACGACCACACGCTGCGTTCGGGCTCCCTGATGCTGTGCCTGATCCTGGCTTATGCAGCAACGAAGCTCAGGAAAGTGATGCATAACTGCCTGGCCTTCCCGAGGGAGGAATCGAAAACCCCTATGGAACGGTTGGGCAGAGGTTGGCACGACGCGTGCGTCAGCCTTGGCAGTGACCGCATGAACATGGGCTGGTCCACGACCCCCCACCGATGCGGGATCTGTTCCTCCCCGACGCGGAGCCCTGCTCAGAGCGCTGACTCCCAGGCAAAGACTCAGGGCTACGTCTCTTCGAGGCCAGATGCAGGGCCACAGGACAAGGGCTCTTCCTGCAAGATTCCCAAAAGGGAGCAAAGCGAAGGGCACCAGAGAAGCGGACCAGGTTCTGCAGAAGGATGAGTCAGTGGTCTCCCAGCTCCCAGGGGCTACCGTGCAGGAAAAAACCCAACACTGAAGGCTGCACACCAAAGGAAAAGCCAACGCCAAGCTCCAGAAAGCCCTTCTGGGACAAAATGCGCCCACCCAGGAGCATGAGGAGAAGGGAAGGACACGAGGTGCCCACATCCACACAGGGCTGCGGAGGAACGGGCCCTCTCCAGACTGAGCCGGAGGGACCCCTCAGGCCTCATTTCAGGTTGTGCAGGGACCAGCTCTGGCAGCTTTTGCAAGTGCTCAACGGCACTTGTGACTTGCCAAGAATTTCCAGAGTGCCTCTCTTTATGGGGCCTCTGTTATTCCCTCAATTCACACAGAGGCAAAGGAGAATAACCATCACTCCCCCCTCACGCTCACAGCAAAGCCCTGCTCAGCTGCATTTTAGCAAAGATCCTGTACAGTATGAAAAGTACACTTTATTTTCTGTACAATTCTCATCCAAATCTCCGGGCGCAGAAATGTCCGCTGTGTCCCCAGAAAAAAGCCGCGGATTTCTCCGCTGCCATGAGACACCCCACAATTGTCCAGGAGGGGCACAAAGCCAGGGCCACCAAAATCAAGTGCTGATGCTTTCTAGGTGTGGGGAGGAGGGAGAGGGAGAGGCAGTCCTGCTCCGCTGAGCCGTGAACAAACGGAGCCTTCGGCTGTTCCCGGGGGAGCAGACGAGACGCCCTCAAGTTCACGTCATCGTTCGTGCTTAGCGTGGGAGTCGTTGCGTTCAACCGTCACCCCATTCCCGTTCCGCGTCACCTCCTTCCTGTTCCAGTCCTTTTCCAGGTAAAATTCAGCGAGCACGGGGCAGTGGTCCGAAGCCACCCCACCCCACGACCAGTTATCGGGGATCCACGGGTTTGTGAGACCTTCTCGCACCACAGCCCAGTGGCCTGCGTGAAAGAGAATCGCCGAGAAGGTGAGCGACGTCGCCCGCGTTTGGCACGCCCCGCTAACCCAACCAGAGGTCGCAAGACCTCGCTGAAAAGCAACTCTACCTGTGAAAACCTTTTTCAGGCTCCGACTGATCCAGATGTTATCCAGCGACTTGGACCCTTGCGGGTTCTTCGTGCTGATGTTGGTGAAGGTGCTGGAAGGGACCAGGTGATGGAACTTCTCCTTCCTCAGGATGTCGTGGTCGCTGCTGTCCGGGGCCTGGTTAAAATCTCCGAGGATGATCACGTCTTTTTCTCCTAGAAAGCGGGGAGAACAGAAAGGAATGGGAGGAATGGACATCCATCACTTAAGTACAAGAGGGAGAGAGGCTAAATCGGAGGAGGGAAAATACAAATACTGAGTAGCAAAGCTGACTTTACTCTGAACTCCTAAAAGAAATGCTGTTTAAAGCCTTTTTTTGCCTGTTTACTCATGACCATTCACTGCATGACAATAAAACCCAGCCAGTACACGTTTCATGCTTGTCTGTAAATATCTCATCCGTACTGGTGCCCTTTGCTCCCCGTTCACTGAGAGTGACAGACTCAAAGACAAGCAGTTCTGATCTTCGAACTTTTTAGAAACCTGTGACTTTGTAAGCTTTCTTTTTTTTTCTTTTTTTCTGCAAGAAACACCTATTAGCTTTAACTTGTCCTGACGCTGTCTTTTATAGATCTGCTGTAAGAATCCCGGACACTCTTGCGAGGATCCCAGGAAGACACAGCCTTATACTGGTATACACCGAAGTCCCAAAAGCGCAGTGCTTCTTCCAACCCTGTGCATGTAACACATCCCAAAGAATGAGCGTGAGCAGCCCACAAGCCTGATGGCAGGAGATAAGTTCCCAAACCACACAGATGCTCCCTGACTGCAGAGGCTTTCCTTCGCCTGGCCGACCGAAGGGATACTGCTGAACTTGGGATGCCTTAGGCTTTGTATACAGATAAATTTTCAAAGAAACTAAGGGAATGACTTCAAATGCCCTACGTGAATAGAAAATGACCTCAGTTACATTTTATTTCTAACCCTAATGAAGTGAGAAAGGAAACTTCGGACCTAGTGTGTGTGGTCTCCTAGCTCCACAGCTGCCGATGGAGACATTCCAGCTGTGCACCGGGGTAAGAGGACGACACGCGTGTGCCAGCGCCCATCTCAAACCGCTGCCAGAAGCGTCCGAGAAGAACGCTCAAGAACGCCCATCGCTGATCAATGACGCTGCTGCGTTACAGCTTGGTCCCGGAGAAGGAGGAAGGTGCTAAACAGAGGCACAAATGTACCAAAGAACCGCCCCAAAACCGAGATGAGAACTATGCGATTCTGTAAGCCGCCTTCTTTCTGGGGTTGTAGTGTGGAGGGAGAAGGGGGGCACAGATGGGTTGCTTTACCGTACCTAGTGCTCAGACAAACCCTTGTTTCGAGCTGTTGCTGTAGAAGGAGACAGCCAGGAGAGGGAGCGCAAGCTCAGCAACTACATCTGTCCCACTGCTTGCCAGGCGCACTGGGGCAGGGGGAGATGGATAGCCTAGGGCTTACAAAACCGAGTAATTCAAAACACGCTGCTTCCTAAGATGCAGAGAGGCAATGAAACGAGAGCGTAACCCTCTGCGGTTTCTCCACCCTTCGCAAGTCGCAAAAATCGTACTGGAAATTACAGGAGGTTCAAATATTATTCTGCAGTGGGTTACGACGGTGGCCTTCCCACCTTTAGAAGAAACAAAAAAAACCCAAACCTGAATGAACTTCAGCTATTTTAAGCTCCACCAGAACCCAAAAGAAAATCGGTGCTTGGCTAATGGGATGACAGTGTTTGCTGGGAGCTGGTGGTTTCGCCTGCGTGTCATCGCAAAAGCCCAAGATCCCTCACTTGGCAGGCCCAGGAAAACTGAAATGCGGCTGAAATCCCGCTCCTTCATGACTAAGGCTTGCTAGAGGGCCAAGGCAGCACCAGGCTCCTTCCCTGCTTTCAGCTCGGCCGCGTAAGCGGGGAAAGGCCATTACAGAAACCGTTGGAGCACATCCGTGGGGATGGGTGGGTTTAAAAATGACGGGAGGCAAGGATCTTAACAGAAGCATCTCAGGCTCAATACACTCCATTCCATTTCATTCTTAAAGTACTCGCACTTGTTTCAGCAAATCCTCCAGCCTATTTCCCTTGCATGAAAAACCTACGGAGAAGACATAATGACAAGTGAAAACTTCAACTGACCGCTCCATTCTGGACAACTCAGAAAGACCAGAGGCTCAAAGACCCAGCTCCTAGGCACGTGCTCGGAAGGAGGTTAGGAAGTTGGCCTGCTGTGTGCACAGGGAGGGAGTCGCTGTATTCTTTACCCACATTTTGCATGCCAAATATACTAAGAGAAAATCAAAATGCAGCGTAAAGTTGACAGACGGAACAGGCTGGGGTCTGTTAAAGAAGCCAAATCCCAGTTTGCCATCGCGGAGGGAAAGGACCACTTCTGGTCCCCTCTCACAAAAGCTTCTGGGGCTCCCCGGGATTGCGAATCACTGGGGAAAAGGCTGGACACTAAGCAGGAAAGGCAGGAAACACCACTTTTCTAGCTAGCCACCAAGTT